CTCCCAAGGCAAAGGCAGCTCGGTTCGCTGCACTGGAATTTTATTAGCTTTTTTAAAGGACTTCCGGAATTAGAAATAAATAATCTGGATATGAAGAGTTCTATGATATGTCAATAACAAAGTACTATAGCAATACATATTGATATCTTTTTAATATCTACATTTCCATGATAAGTTACTGAAGAGACACTCTCTCTCATTATTTTTCTTACATTCGACTATCAACGCAAACGATCTGGCTGATAAATTCCATTACCCGAAATTGCTTGATCCGCATGCGCGCTTTTGGGGTCTAATAAAGAGAAAAGGCAGGAAAGAAATGCGCGATATCGATTTTGAGGGAGAAAATCGCGGACGATGGAACGATCTCAGCAGACAAAAATAAACGAATGCGCGGACGAAAGATTCCCTCTCGGTCTGAAAATGAAGCAAATGATTCCTCCTCTCCGCGAGCCAAGATCCAACCCGTCCTATACCCGGCCATCGTTTCATCCTCATATCTCCCCCTTCCACCGAGAGCACCAATCGAGTTCGATGTCATCCGTGAAATACATTTTAGCTACAAAGTCGTCTTTCCTGTCGTCATCGTGAACGGGTGGTGGTAGACTCCTGGCGATTCCTTTCGTACGGGATGGCAGAGCAGATGGAGGGCCGAGACGGAGAAGAGAGGAGGTCGTCATTTCACGGATCTCATGCCTCGTACATTTTCCTTCCTCGTCCCTCCTTTCTCCTTCTTCCACTTCTTATTCGTGGCTCTTTACGAGAATGAAAAGGTAACATCTTACCAGAGAGAGAGACTCTTCTCCCACCTTCTACAGGCTCTTTTTCTGGTTTGTTCTACCTCGTCGATGTGTCGTCCCCAACCCTCTTTCTCTCCCGCGACTTCGATGCACTCTCGTGATTCGATGTGACGAGGGGATACGGGTGCAAACATGATTTAGAGTAATGTCGCGGATGAAAGAATAAAATCCGCGAGGTTGATGCCAAACAAATAACTTGTGGTATCCGATACTACGTGTATGCGGCTTGCGGAGAGTATCCTATCGCTATATACAGCACTGGTTGTATCTCTTGGATATGCTCTGTGTCTCAACATTTCATTTCGCAGTTTTTTTCTCCTTCGAGACGTTAAAGATGGTAGTATATTATGTGGTTGCGCGGAAATGATCTAGATGTAATAACGGGGCTCATCGTATCGAACTAGACCCCATAAGAGACGAGATTCTTATCTATATTTCTAACTCAATCATATTGATATTTTGTGCCAACAGATATATAGGCTTCGAATTACTACGAGTTATAAAAAGATGTGAAATTTCCACGCGTAGACAACTTGTCTGTTAGAAATCATTAAAAACTTGAAATTCTCTTTTCTGTTCAATATATGTATACATACACTGAAAAAAAATTTGTTAAATTAACAAATGTTTATTTGAAACGAATAAATATTTGTTTGTTTTGAAAAAAGATTTTCTTATATCGAATAAATATTTTTCATATCAAATCAATATTATTAGTTTCAAATAAATGATTTATTTGACAGTATTGAAATAAATACTTATAAGAATTAACTAAATTCTTTTTCAGTGTATGTAAGATATTGTAAATAGAAATTGTACTATTTTAAAGTTATAAATCAAAATGAATTTTTTTTCGTTATACTTATAAATTTGTTATGCCTGTTTCTTAAATAAATAATTTTGTTATAGGTGCATTATATATTTAACATATAATATAAGAATATTTAAAGAAAGATATAATTTTCGTTTTTATAAATTTGAGCATTTGAAAAATTAATTAAATCACATATATTTGCTTGAATTATTAGCACGAGAGAATATTGTTTCGAATAAGATAACACATACGTTTGATTTCTTGTTGTCAGTCATGTTCATTTGTGTGTGTAAAAATATATTAATTAAAAATAAATATGTTGGCTGTTATGTGAAGAATAAACACATTTTTAGTGACACGCGACGATTTAAATTATTGATTCGAAATGTTAAATAACTATTACAAATGTTTATGACGCACGTTTCAACAGTGGTAGTTAACTACCATTTATGAGAGAAGGTGTTAAATGGTTTAATGTTTCGTACCAACAGGTGGTCGCTTTTAGACTACAAACTTATAACTATACGACCACCTAAAATAATATATTATAGTATAATTTTCCAATGATGTATTGTTGAACAAATAAAAAAAATACATATAAATAATAAGAATTTATTCCTCCCTGAAACAAAATCATGTTTATATTGTACCTTTTATTTGTAAGAATATTAATTTTATTTTAAGAATATTTTTGATAAATAATATCCAAAAAGATTTTATTTTCATTTACTATCATACTATTTATAGCATTTTATAGTTTCATAATATTTATAGCAAAAACGACATGAGCTATATTATGCAATTATTATGATCAAAGACTTCTTCAAACATTGAAATGAATATAAAATATAAGTCCACATATACACAACTTTTTTCTCATTATTATTTGCTTAAGAATAATATTTCTTTCATTTTATTCATATTATTTGAATAATTATGCAAGTAACAAGTTTTTATAAAAGTAGAACTAAAGTATCAACATCTCAATAATAGAACGTAATAATACAGTAAAATATTTCATCACACAAACATATCCTTCATAATTTATTATCAGACAAAGTTGGTCTTGTTTTATAAATAGATCTCTGTGTTATACTAATCTATCAAACGAGGAATAAGGTTGATTATTATCTCGCTGATAAATTATATTATTTAATATATATATTATAGATTATTATTTTAAATATTAATAACAAAAAGCTTTTCCTTTATAGTAAAACAATAAAATGGCTCGTGATATGGACGCGCGCATCATTACTTGAGCCCATATATATATATGTGTGTGTATCTTCGCGGAGAAAAAGGTGGGGGATTTTACGAATATAATATATGCATCCCGCGTGCATAGCTCGAGATCATCGAGATGCAACGATTATTGCAGCGGCATCTGGAAGGTGGTTATTGAAATAGGTCGTAGAGTGTATGGGGAGTGGTTAGTCCAGGGTCCATTCCGCTAACGGTAACGACCAACTCGCTGGTTCGAGTCTCGGCTAAGCTTGAAAATAAATTGAGCCATCATGGCAGCTGCAGCAGCAGCCTTTCCCTCAATTCGAACCCCCACCGGGTTGTCTCGGCGACAACGCCCGACGATTGTACAGAGTATCGGAGTCTCATGCGCAGACGCAGATCGACGGGATATTACATTGAGGCAAGAGAGGGAGAAAAAAAGAGAGAGAGAGAAAGAGAGAGAGAAAATTGCGCCCCCCTAAATGGAATTGAAAATTTCCTTGTTCCGCGATCGCAATTTTTGCGATAAAATCGAAAGAAAATACTCATTACGTAAGACGGTTTGCGTGTTTGCTTTTCAGATAAAATATAATAGTTGGGATAAATAAGATGAGAAATGCTGCAGGAGCGAGAGGTCCGTCCTCTCCGAAATTTTACAATATTGTGTATTTTTGTGCGTAAAACACGAATTTGTAAATAAAAATTGTCGTTCCCAAGTAGGGAAAAAATTACAATGGGTTTCGCCCCATCCCTCGTGAGAAGAGAGCAGATTTTAATTTACACACTGAAAAAAAGATTTGTTAACTTGACTAAATCGTTCAATTAAATATTATTTTGATAATTAAAAATATTTAAAAATATTTAAATTAAATATAATATATTAAATTTAACAAAACGTATATTTGACTTAAATATTAATATATTAATATGTTCAATTAACAAAGTAGTAATTTAATTGAAAGGTTTAGTCAAATTAACAATTTTTTTTTCAGTGTAGCATACTTTCTTAATTTTTCTGGACTCATTGTTAATCAAATAATTTAAAAGAATTCATTGTCCCTGCGTCTACTATGACACATACACTGAAAAAAATTTTACTTGACTAAATCGTTCAACTAAATATTATTTTGATAATTACAAATATTTAAAAATATTTAAATTAAATATAATATATTAAATTTAACAAAATGTATATTTGACTTAAATACTAATTTATATTTAATTAACAAAATAATAATTAGTTGAAATGTTTAGTCAAGTTAATAAATAGTTCTTTCAGTGTATAATAAGATAGTCCGCATAATATGATAATCACCCAATATTTTTCTCGATATTCTATGCATGCATACCATAATTAAAATCTTAACTTTGATAGCATGAAACAAGTGACTCTTATAATTGTAATGTCGTACCGTAGTATTATACACTTAAAAAAAATTGTTAACTTGACTTTTAAATCTTTCAACTAAATTATTATTTTGTTAACTGAACATATATTAGTATTTTAGTCAAAAATATATACATTGCGCCCCCCTAAATGGAATTGAAAATTTCCTTGTCCCGCGATCGCAATTTTTGCGATAAAATCGAAAGAAAATACTCATTACGTAAGACGGTTTGCGTGTTTGCTTTTCAGATAAAATATAATAGTTGGGATAAATAAGATGAGAAATGCTGCAGGAGCGAGAGGTCCGTCCTCTCCGAAATTTTACAATATTGTGTATTTTTGTGCGTAAAACACGAATTTGTAATTAAAAATTGTCGTTCCTAAGTAGGGAAAAAAATTACAATGGGTTTCGCCCCATCCCCCGTGAGAAGAGAGCAGATTTTAATTTACACACTGAAAAAAAGATTTGTTAACTTGAATAAATCTTTCAACTAAATATTATTTTACTAATTAAAAATATAAAAATATTTAAATTAAATATAATATATTAAATCTAACAAAAGATATATTTGACTTAAATACTAATATATGTTTAATGAACAAAATAGTAATTTAGTTGAAAGATTTAGTCAAGTTAACAATTCTTTTTTTATAGTATACAGATTCGCGTTTCACGCATAAAAATATACAATACTGTAAAGTTTTGAAAAAATCGAAGATGATTTTCACAAAATTATTACCCAAAATTAAAGTAAAAGCTGATGAGACTCACCGATACACAGCAACGTAAACCAAGTTGTAAACTGTAAAAAAACATGGAAATTATAATAATTTATTATATGTATATAGTATATAATAAGTACAGTATATAATAAGTACGATCAGTGTTGTGCTTAGATGATTTTAAAATTAGCTAGATAAAGCTGAGATAAATATGTAAATTCATCTTAGATAAAATAATGATTTTCTTGTTTCAAATATATCTAGGTAAAAAATAAAATTATATATGATGATTCATCTAGATAATAATTTTTAAGACTTATATAAACACGTTATATAAAAAAGTAAATTATAAAAAGGATATAAAAATATATGTATTCATATTTTTATTTATAAATTTTTATCGCTTACTGCTTAAGTTCTACTATTTAAATATTTTTATATGCTATAATTCTAAATCAAAATTATCTGAAAATTATTCTATAGATAATTTAGTAAAGATAATACTTTTTTTCATCTAAGATGCAGATAATACATATTTTTATTATCTATATAAAGATAAGATGACACCAAAGTTTCATCTAGATGATCATCTAAATAATTTTATTTAGATAACAGCAAACATTGAGTATAATAGTATAGTAAAATTTAAAATAATTAATATTTTGACAAATAAAATTATTATTTGCATTGAATTTAAAAGTAAAAATAGCAATAATAATAATAAATAAATAATAAATAATAAATAAATCATGTACCATGTAGTTGTTCCGCCGTTGTTCGATGCCATCCCAGGCCTCCTCCTCCTCTCGTAAAAGCTTCGAAACACTTGCACTCGCGTTACTTTTTTTTCGAGAAGTTTAGAAACACACTCGCGTTACGTTTCTTGTTCGCGACGTGCGGCGACGTCCGGGTTTTAACTTTCACATTTTCGACGTTTTGATAAAATTCGAAAAACGCGAGAACATATTCGCGCGCGAATGTTCCGTTTTTGCGTCGCCGCTTTTTTTAAGGCCCCTTCGGAGGGCTTTATCGAATATTTCAATATTACAAATACACTATACATCATATATACTTGATACATCATAAAGATACATAATACGCCTCAGAAATTATTAAATGCAGAAACATCTCAATTTGAGATGCTGTCATATAATTATATGGTTGTCACGAAATAAATAATTGTCATATTAATAAATAATTATTTCTATTGATATTAAAACGTATTGAATAAATAGAAACATATTTACTGAATAAAATAAAAAATTTCTTATAATTAAAAAAACTATTTTATCGCGAATGAAAATAACTTATTTATCAATTCAACAATTTCTGTTGTTGACTATGATTCTGTTTAAATTCAATATGCCTGTTTTAGATGCATACATAATATGTATATGTATGTGAAATCAATTATAAAAAATTAAATCAAACTTTTTAATCAACCCAATTTTTCAAATATGCGCAACATAAAAATTTTTAGATATTACACATAAAATATAATTATTTAATAATTGATTGATAATTGAGATATCTGTAATAATAATTTTTATAAAGTAAAAAATGAGATTCAAAATAAGTGATGAAACTCAAAATATGTGCAAGATTAAATTATTAAAAATTAAATATGAAATGTAAATATTTAGTAATTGATAATTGAGATATATAATAATAATTTATATAAAGTAAAAGTTGATGAGACTCACAATATGCGCAACATTAATTTTTTAAATATTAAATATGAAATGCAAATATATTTTTAGTAATTGATTGATAATTGAAATATATAATAATTTATATAAAGTAAAAGTTGATGAGACTCACAAAACGCGCAACAGTAAAGTTTTTGCATTATTAAATGAGATTCAAATATGTAAGAATTTATTGATAATTAAGGTATACATATAATAATAATTTTTTATAAAGTAAAAATCGATGATTGACTCACCGGTCGATGCGCAGCGGCAACAAAGTAATCTGTAAAATATAAATATAATTAATATTTGAAAATTAAAATTATTATTCACATTGAATTTAATAATAATAGTAAAAATAAATAAATTACCATATAGTTGTTCTGCCGTTGCCCGATGCCATCCCGAGCCTCCTCCTCCTCTCGTAAAAGTTTTGAAACACTTGCACTCGCGTTTTAGCTGTCATATTTTCGAAGGTTTGATCAAACACTCGATAAAACACGAGAAACGCGGGAGCTTATTCGCGCAAGAATGACACCGAAGTTCCGTCATCGTGTCGCTGCTTTTTTGAAGGTCACTTATCGGAGAGCCTTATCAGAGTGCCTTATCAGTGTCTTATCGGACGATGAGAAGCTGCGGCGACTTCCTCCGCGACGCACTCAAGAATCGCCGATTATCACAGCTCGGAGCGATAACGTCATGTCAAAGAAGCGAAATTGAGGGAAATGCTCCAAGATGTCCGCCCGACGAGGCCAACTTCGGGCGTGTGATCGCGATCACGATGTCGACCCACGCGACATTCGCATTTACACGATAATTAACGCCACTGATTAATAGTCACACTCGTGCTTTCGTGAATCGACAAGCCAAAGGTTAGGTTAATCGCAAGCGATTTAAGACACCTTAAAGCAGCACTACTACTAGCTTTGAGAGATCACAGCGCGCCGCGTCGTAGTGGGGAAGAGAAGCTCAGGCCAGTTCGGGCGAGTTCGGCTTCGGGGCCCGACTTCGGGCGGGCTTGCAACGTATGATAAGTACGTAAGTACGCCGCCAGCTCTACCCCCACGATTCGACCCTGGCTTGCTGCCGAGACTAGTGGCGCCGCCACCGTGGCGATGTCGCTGCTTTCTTGTGTATTTATATATTCATTTCCGTTGTTATCACCGGATCTGTTTGCAAAAGTACAAGTGTGAGTGTTGATTAGTGTCGATAATTATCGTATAAATGCCGATCGTGATCATACGCCTAAGTTAGCCTCGGCTGGACTTGGGATGGGAGCTACGTCGCGGAGGAAGCCGCATCATTGTCGTCCGATAAAGCTCGATGATGGCTGATAAGGCCATCCGATAAATGACCTTCAAAAAAGCGCCAACGCGATGACGGAGCTTCGGTTTCATTCGCACTCGAATAAGCTCCCGCGTTTCTCGTGTTTTGTCAAAACGTCGAAAATGTGATGGATAAAAAAAATCCGAACGTCACCGCTCGTCGTAAACAAAAAAAAAAAAATAACGCGAGTGCAAGTGTTTCGAGGCTTTTACGAGAGGAGGCCCGGGATGGCATCGAGTAACGGCAGAATAACCATATGGTAATTTATTTATTATTTATTATTACTATTTTTACCATTTATATTCAATATAAATAATTTTATTTTTCATAATATTAATTGTATTTTACAGTTTACAACTTCGCTACTGTGCATCATATCGGTGAGTCTCATCAATTTTTACTTTATAACAATTATTATTATAGGTACATCTCAATTATCAATCAATTATTAAATATTTACATTTCATATTTAATATCAAAAAATCTTAATGTTGCGCATATTTGATATATTCGATTGATTTAATTTTTCATAAATAATTTCATATACATATATGTATATATGCATTTAAAACAAGCAATATCTATATTATATTATATCTATACAGAATTATAGTCAACAACAGAAATTATTTAATTGACAAATAAGTTATTTTCATTGATAAAAAATACAATAATTTTTTGCAATTCTAAGAATTTTTTTTACTTATTTAGAATACATATTTTTCTTTTTTCAATATATGTATATTAATATTAATAGATACAATTATTCATTAATATAATAATTATTTATTGTACGACAACCACATATTTGATTACATGACATTGCAGTAAATTTAAATTGAGATGTTTCTGTATTCAATTATTAAATATTTACATTTCATATTTAATATCAAAAAATTTTAATGTTGCGCATATTTGATATATTGGATTGATTTAATTTTTCATAGATGATTTTATATACATATATGTATGTATGCATCTAAAACAAACAATATCTATATGATATTATATCTATACAGAATCATAGTCAACAACAGAAATTATTTAATTGATAAATAAGTTATTTTCATTCAATAAGAAATATTAAAGAATTTTTTTTTTACTTATTTAGAATACATATTTTTCTTTTTTTCAATATATGTATATTAATATTAATAGAAACAATTATTCATTAATATAATATTATTTATTTTACGACAACCACATATTTGATTACATGACATTGCAGTAAACCCAAATTGAGATGTCTCTGTATTTAATAGTTTTTAATATGTATGTTTTTAATATGTATCAAGGATATGGTGTATAGTGTATTGTTTGTAATATTGCAACTCTTGTACATATTTAACCATGAATAATCGTAAACTAGCATTGTGAGTGTAAGAAATGAAATCATTTAATGACTGTATAATTCTCTGTCTGATCGTTATAATTACAATGAAAAAAAGTTAACTTGAGAAAGTTAACTAATTGTAAGTCTTTCAACTAAATATTATTTTGCTAATTGAACATATAAAAATATTTGTGAATTAAATATAACATATTAAATCAAAATGTATATATTTTTGACTAAAATACTAATATATGTTTAGTTAACAAAATAATAATTTAGTTGAAAGATTTAAAAGTCAAGTTAACAATTTTTTTAAGTGTATAATACTACGGTACGACATTACAATTATAAGAGTCACTTGTTTCATGCTATCAAAGTTAAGATTTTAATTATGGTATGCATGCATAGAATATCGAGAAAAATATCGGGTGATTATCATATTATGCGGACTATCTTATTATACACTGAAAGAACTATTTATTAACTTGACTAAACATTTCAACTAATTATTATTTTGTTAATTAAATATAAATTAGTATTTAAGTCAAATATACATTTTGTTAAATTTAATATATTATATTTAATTTAAATATTTTTGAATATTTTTAATTATCAAAATAATATTTAGTTGAACGATTTAGTCAAGTAAAATTTTTTTCAGTGTACGTGTCATAGACGCAGGAACAATGAACTCTTTTAAATCATTTGATTAACAATGAGTCCAAGAAATTAAGAAAGTATGTTACACTGAAAAAAATTGTTAATTTGAATAAACCTTTCAATTAAATTACTACTTTGTTAATTGAACATATTAATATATTAATATTTAAGTCAAATATACGTTTTTATTAAATTTAATATATTATATTTAATTTAAATATTTTTTATGTTCAATCAACAAAATAATATTTAGTTGAAAGTTTTAGTTAAGTTAACAATTTTTTTTTTAGTGTACGATTATGAAATCATGCTTACTTCTATATATATTTTATAGATATTTTTTTATATTACCATAGCTAGATCAGGAAACCATGTAATCTTCCCGATAACCTTTAGTGACTTATAGGCTTACTTGGAGTGTTTTATTACCAAAACGATGATCGATTCTACCGGCTATTACACCTGGGTTCTCTAATCCGTTAATAATCCATTCGATTAGAGTCGGAGAATTAATGAAAATGGTATTGAAAATTCGAAATGCATGGCCGCGCGTTAATAGAGCCTCATATAAAGCAATAATATTCTCTCAAAGAATTTTTTAAAAAGAAATTCGATTAAACAAATTTTAATAAATACTCTTTACTTCCGAATAATAATATTCCCGAAAAATAATAATATACAGTTTAAATAATCATAAAGAAACACTTCATTTTTTACACATTAAAACAAGAGCAGATTTACGATACTGAAGTCGAGTTCGACACATTAAGTTTGTATCGTATACTTTAATGAAGCGTAAGTTGATGCGTAAGCGCGATTATATTTAGCGAATAATCCGCGATAAACATATTACACACAGAAATAAAAATAAACGGCACGTCATAAGATTAAAATAACGCAACTTGACATATATTCTCTATTTTCTTCTCGGAATTTCTTTTATATTTAATTACTTTATATTATAGGAAGTAACAATTATCTCGTTTCAATGTAATATATAGCATTCGCGTAAGATAAATCGTATTTATTGCACTATATTATATAGCATAGTACAATAAATAAAGTATTTATATATATTATATACATATAATAACTTTTTATTGTGTTATGCTATATAGAACATACTGTACCATTTCTTCTATATTTTCTAT